ACTGCTTCTTTTTCTTCTTATTTGCGTTCACCAGCTATAAACTCGGCGGAAAGTTCGGGGTGTTCGCCCGTTTCAGGACTTGGGTGTTTTTCCAGAACCTGAGTGTTGCAAGCTCACCCGTTTCACAGATTGGGCTCTTTGCTTCGCAGATTTCTTGGTTGCCTTCATCTAAATCAGATGTATTCCGATTACGAAGGATATCCCAACTTAGTTGATTCCTTCCACATGCTTGTTGAGGAGACATTGGGTCTGATATCGTTTTTCCCGCAACGAGGACTAGAACTCACACAGGGAGCACGTGATAACGATACTGAGTACTGTTGTATGGGATTCCTGTATTTTCTAAATTACAATTCGGAAACACATTATTACAGTGACCCTGCTTCTATCACGCTCTGTAATTCACAGTAGTATTGAACTGTTATGTTTCGTGTCTGTCGGAATATTTGGTAGAGCGATGAAGTAAGTCGCAGCACGAGCTGCCTGTCTCCAGTGTCAATCATAGTGTGTGGATGAACTACAAGGGAACTAATCACCGAGTGGTGCTGATTACAGGCGAGATTATTGACCATGGAACTACCCAGGATATGATTCATTCGTGGAAATATCATCATCATCACCCAGGGTCGCCGGAATCTGGGAGTCTTAGGCATTTTGAGCCCACTCCCCAATGTGTTAGGAGGTAACACTGCCCCACCCTTTCAACCATGCACGGAGGTTTTCTTTTGAAGTTTTTGATTACACATAGGGGACTGAGTGGTCTCGAGGCATGTTGTCCGCCTAGAGTGCTAGAGGTTTCGGGTTCAATCCTCGGTAAGGACTTCAATTTTTTCTCGTGTACTTGGATTTTTAGTATTTTCTCTAGTCTCTGGATAATGAGATCGGATGCCCGTATGCATTATTTGAGGCATGTTGTCCGCCTAGAGTGCTAGAGGTTTCCTTTGGCATATCAATTTTTTCTCGTTTGGAAACCAAAAAATGTAGCCCGTAATTATTTAGCGTCTGCCCAGGCAAAGAGGTTTGGAGTTAAAAATTCTACCCTTGGAAAGTATTTCAAGAATGAGATCTTCGCCGGTGCTGCAGAGAGCCTGTGCTTCACTGTGCTGAGCATGCTTCGTATCAGACTATGAGTTAAAAATTCCTTTGGCAGTTGAAAAGAAGTAGCCTAAGCGCTGCCCAGGCAAAATTTGGAGCCTACTTATGGGTTACTACCACTGTGTGCCTTCGTGATGTTGATCCGTTGTTCAAAACCTCAAAACTTCAATAGTATTAGCCTAAATGTATGTGCTCTTCCGCACATTGTGTGCCATTTAAACATCACATCAGGTCCGACGTCTTTTCATGCAGGCCTGCGTGCCCAGTTCTTAACAGCTTACAAATAAACTGTGTTTGTTCTTTCGGTCTTTTCCTTCATTGTGTTCTATTCTGTACAGTCCTTTGGATATTATGATATTATGACTAAATCCAGTCCAGCATCTTTAGTATTTCTCATCAACGTTAATATTAGGGTTTCCTTTGGGCGTCCTCGTTTTTTTCAGTATATTTGTTTCTGATGCGAATGCCTGTTTGGTGATTTCCCATCAACTTCTTATTTGCAAATGTCCTGTAAATCACCGTCTTCTTTATCAAATCACTGGCGAAAACAACTGCTGCCCAGCCATATCTCTGATTTCTTCGCCTTCCTGGAAATATACGGTTAGTTGCGTATCCTTTACAGGACGATGCAGAACCAACCCCAGCAGCCCCTGGCTGTTGTGTGATTTCTCTAGGCAAATTTACGTCCAGGATTTTTCCATTGCTTACTGGACGGTTTGCTTCCTGATACCACTGTCGAAACCAACGTAAGGCGCATGGCCCGCAGCTGGAATCGAACCTGGCACCCCGGCATTATGAAGCGTTCGCATCGACTTAGCCACAGTGCCGACCCTGGAAATATACTGAATCTTTTTCTTCCTCTTTTGCGTTCGCCCCTGCACGTTCTATTGTCATTTACAGCTAGAATGTGACATCTGCACTTTTTTTTTAGCGAAACACATCCGACATCAGCAAACGGGGCCCCGGACCTCATGCAGGGATAAGCTGAATGAAAACTGGATGGATCGACAGACCTCTAGAGATGGAGAGTATATCTTTTCTTAAAATGTATTTTAATGAGTTGAGACAGAGGGAAGAGGAGAAGTAGGAGGTTATTTAATATCAGGTTACCACGTCAGTAAGTTGCGCTGTGAAAATTGAGAATAAATAAACAATTCCAGTAAATCTGTTTTGATTATAATTATTGGAGTAAAGTTTTAATACCTTTGTTTTTTCCCCCCAGTGCATTCTCTAGGGCATGCATAAATTGTCGTAATTCTCGAATGTCTTTTAGCATTTGACATTTAAATGATTTTTGTGTATTTACTTGTAAGGTGCTAGCTCTTATTTCTTGTTCATAAATACTCTCTGTCTCTCTCTGTCTCTCATTCTTTCTCCCTCCCTATGTGCATGTGGGTGTATGTGTTTGTGTGTGTGAGTGTGTTTTTTTTTTTTTACTTCTCTGGCATTACAATGGTTTAGGCAGAATATTGTTTTATTTATTCGACCTCTTTTGTTGATGTACACCCACACATTTTTGTAATGTTTCGCAGTGTCAATACCTCCGTTCTTTCTGTGTTTTTGATTATCAGCTTTTGATGTGTATTTTATTATATCACATACACATTTATATACACGCGTGCACACACACACACACACACACACACACACACACACACACACAAACACACTCACACACACACTCACACACACACACACACACACACGTACACACACACACAGGGATCTCATCAGACTTTAGTTCATTGCATTCTTCTTTGCCATTTTTCTTCTTCTTCTTCTACGTTGGCTCCTGCAAGTAGGATTTGTGCACTCTTTTGTGGTTTACAGCTAGGCTTCGCCTCTAGACCCAAAACATCCGATTTCAGCAAATCCCTCATTAATTATTTTTTTTCACGATATGCCTGGCAGGGAAAAGGGTGAATGGGCTCAGTAGGTCTAATGTTTTCCACCAAAATTAGGTCCCAGAACCCATACGGTGAACTCACTGTCCAATACTGACATCTGTACGAAAGAACGAGCATAGTCCTACATACCAGGAAGCAGGTATTTTGGTATTTAATTACCTGTCTTCAGTGTGTATTTGGGAGACTTGAACCAGTACTCTAATCTGACGAACCTGTGCACAATCCTTATTAAGGTGGATTTTTATATCTGACTCAGACTTTCAGGTAGATGAAGTATTAAAAAAATATACCTAGAAAGTTCTGGGAAGTCACTACGGCAAGTGTGAAATTTGGGTCATCAATGTGTATAACCAAATATGCCTGACAGTGTCTGCCATATACTCCCATTTGTGTATAAACTGCCCTTTAATTTTATTTTAATGTTAGTCTCATGTCGACTTTCCCGGCCTAAGGCGTTGCAAGTCTGACTCGTAATTTCAGATTACCGCGATCGAAACCTATTGCTGGCTGCTTGGATTTTTATCATGCTATGGAGCGTCGCAGTTCGACCCAGATAAAAATCGGTATTAGGATGTATGTCCCGGGGAAGTAAAAACGGCCGGCGTAATACTGAATACATTACCTACCTAGTACCGATTGGTCTGTAAAAATATGAGTGTTCTTCCCATATGCCCGATGCGCCTAAAGGCGTGAAAAGGGATCTTTACTTTTGTAATATGAATTTTGGGGCTTTGAGTAACTATGGTCATGTGCATAATCCCCATCGAGGTACATTTTTATGTCTGACCCAGAATTTCAGGTCAATGAAGCCTAAAATATCTAGATGGAAAGATCTGGGAAGTAACTACGGCAAGTGTGGAATTATCCACATCGGACATCGAGGTATATAACCAGAAATTCCATTAAATCGTTTACCAGATACTCCCAAGGGTGTACAAACTGCCCTTTAATTATTTATTTTTTTTTATTCCTTTGTGGACTACTCATTAGTCTTTAGCCGTTAGATGCAGTTTGAGACAGTCTTTTACTTTTTCTTTACAGTTAGTCTTTTATCGTTAGTCGTAGCTGACAACAGTTATTAAGACATAAGTATGAGTGCCAAGAAACAGAATGTAAAATAGCATATTCATACCAACAGTGTGCTACCAGTGTCAGACTTGGACATTAACAAAGGCTAACTTGCATAAAATTACCACCTGTGAAATGAGATGTCTGAGAAAAGCCGCCAAATGAACCATGCGAGACAAAATGAGAAATAATATTAGTAGGCGGAGTGTACGAACAACACCATGCACAAATTCACTGAGAAACAATAGATCGAATGATCTGGTCATTTAGTAAGAATGCAGACAGAACAGCGACCACCGCAAAGGCTATACGTGAAAATATATCTGAAGTGAAAGCAAGAAGTCGACCTAGGAGCTCATTGATTGATGACATTAAAGAGTTTCTGCATCGATACGGAATGATAGTAGCCATTACTGCCCAAGAAGCACTGGATCGCAAACTGTTCCTCCCCACAAAGCTTAACGATTGAAGTAAAAATTGATGATGATGATGATGTTGGTGACATCAGTCCTTTTATTTTACATTAATGCAAGTCTTTTGTTTTTAGCCTTTAGCCGTTAGCTGCCAGTGGAAACTCTTGATTTGATTTGATTTAATTTGATTTAAGAACCGAAATCACGGCACTCGGGGCATTCCAATAAGGGCGTCGTCCCAGTCTTCAGCAGCTAGTGTGGAGCTCCGATACTAATGGTACCAGTAGCATTCTGATTAATCGTCCGTCTTGATTTTCCTCTGAGCCTCGAGCATCTGCCAGAACCCCAAATCCCTCCCCGCTGCAACAACCTCACCAAACTGTGGTGATCAATCTGTTCATCCGAACAAGGCACTAACCACATCTGCGTTATAATGCGTCAGTATTCCCCCATTCGTTTTGTATGTGTGTGTGTTGTTGACATTAATATCTTTTATTTTCTATTTCCTCTCTTGCAGGTAATCAAGATGATGATCACAGTGGTGGGCATCTACAGCATCTGCTGGCTGCCACTACACGCCATCACCATCGCCTCAGACGTCGACGACTCGATCTTCATCCCTCGATACATGCGTGTGGTCTGGATCGCGGCCCACTGGCTAGCCATGAGTAGCTGTGCCTACAACCCTTTTATCTACTGGTGGATGAACCCTAAATTTAGGGACGGCTACATTTCCATTCTCCACAGTCTCCGGTCCATGGTATTTTTCTTGTGCGATATCGGAAGAGGCAGAAAGGAATCCGCTGCTTCGTTTGGAAACAGACGGTTTTTTTCACGATTTGGAAACGGCTCGGGCAATAACCTGTCAAGTCGCCGACACTCATCGACGCAGATGGTAGAGTTTACAGGTAGTTTCTGTGATGGTCCGCGCAGATGCGAAACTGCCATGCTAACTGACCAACAGATAAAAGAGAAACCGATTGTCAAGGACGCTGAGTATTTGCCAGAACTTAGTAAAATATCGGAAGTCACAGAAAATGGAACTAGCTCTTATGGAATTAAGGCAAATCAATCTTACATTGATGACAAATTAGAACATGAGTTCCGTACATGATTATTACCGTACCGAAACATGTAGCGCTGTTGTTTATCTTAAGATTAGTTTTGTTGCATTCCAAGGACAGCGTTCAGTTGGAAATTTTAGCTGGCATGTTAATGCCATAGAGATTCAGACTTGCATTTACCAGCTAAATGATTTTGTTCAGCATGCCTGGATTGTGTCTATCCTCTCGTGTGATAGACAACATTTAAAGTGATGGGGAATTTTTAGATAAAACCCTTGCGAGAACGAAATCCACAATACTTTGGTTCTAACGGTGGACTACGGTGATATCTTAAGCAAAAATGCAGACGGTTTTGTTGTTGTCCATAAAGTGTTGCAAGGGCCACATTAAAACATCGTTCGTATAAGTTCCATTTCAACCAGGGATTATGGAAACATATGGAAAAACCGCTGCAGACTGTCCTATGAACACCTGTGAGAGAGATCACGAAATATTTCAAGTGTTGAACCTCGTTCACCCTACTTACGGCTTTACCAAGAACGTGTTGTAACTTTCCGGACAAATGATATTGATCCACAAGAAAACATATGGATCCAGCATCCTATGTCAGACGGAACAAAGGTGTAACATAAAAACTATTTGTTTACTGTTCACGGTACTATTAGACATCTCAAGATTATTTGATGATCATCGTCACCCTGCTAGAGATATTGCATGATTTCACATCTGGAAGTTTCTCGGCCAACAATATAATTTTATGTTATGCTACAAGACTCGACCCGCTGATGCTGGATTCTGGAATGTGTGTGCTGACAATAACCGTTTCTAATTGCAGCAAAGTATCGGAGAAATCAAATTGTTGAAGAATAACGAATTTGAATACATTCTGTGTATTAACTACTTTCCAGGTGTCTATGTTTGAGGAGAAAAAAAATCAGCTAGCTTCAACCCAAATCACACATATCAGTCTCAGCATCAAGTGCCTTGCCGGCTGGCGTGGGCGGTCATGCCTCTCTACAGTCTCCAATCAGCAACAGAGTGTATCAGTTCGTGTGTTGACACCCCTCTGTGCCATGAAAAAAAGACTGTCAAGAATCTTCTCGCGCTGTCTTCCTCTGCCGGTCTCTCTTTCCAGAGATCTTTCCAGTGGTCGCTACCTGTTCTATTTTCCCTTTTCTCATAACATGACCAAAAATGACGACTGATGTTTGTGATAAGTTGCCACTCTTCTCTCTCTCTCTCTTTCTCTCTCTCTTTCTCTCTCTCTCTCTCTCTCTCTCTCTCTCTCTCTCTCTCTCTCTCTCTCTCTCTCTCTCTTAATCGAACTACAGGCCATGTAATTACTTGAGTACCCTAATATAACTATTATAGGGTTGAACAGGATTTCTAGAATTTGGTCTTGGTGGATTTTTGTCGAAATGGTGTTTCGTTGGGTCAGTGCAATCATAGGAAGGGCAAATTATTTGTAAACAAATCAGCCGATGGTAAACAATTTGTCTCCTGGAATCTTTTTTTTTTTTGTTTGTTATTTTTTTTTTTTGCTTTTGTTTATTGCAGGTAACTACCAAGAGGAATTGTTAAATAGCAAACAGTCAACTGTCATTAAAAGGAGTTAGATGTATCGTAAAATCTACCACGAAACAAAATATGTTTTATAGTTAACCTACTAACACCAGTCGAACTTGAAATCTGACAGTTATTTCTCGGAATCATAACAGTATGGCGACTCTTACTGAAAGGGTAACGAAAAGGAGGAATAACATATAATAAAATAAAATGTAACAATTATATGTTGCCTCTGATTTTTTTACTAGCAATAGATTGGATTGTGATGACAGAAACTTCTAACACCAAGAATTAAATTCAAGGACGCCTAGAAAACAGCTTGATGATCTTGGCTTCGCTGATGATATTTCTCTTCTGACCCACTCACGGAATCAGATGCAAGATAAAGCTACTTGAGGTGAGATCACAACAACTAGGTCTGAAAATCCGTAAGGGAAAGACAAAGATAATGAGAATAAAAACGGCAAATGGTAATAGTATCCCACTTCATGACGTAGAGTCGTACATCTATTTGGGCAGTTATCATCATCATCATCAGGTGCCTTGCCGACTGGCGTGGGCGATCATGCCTCTCCATATTCTGCTATCTCCTGCAGCATGTATCAGTTCGTGTGCCGACACACCTCCATGCCATGCAACAAGAGTGTCAAGCATCTTCTCTCGTTGTCTTCCTCTATCTCTCCTTCCACAAATCTTTCCAGTGGTCACAACATGTTCTATTTTCCCTCTTCTCATAACATGGCCGAAAAATGATGACTGTCTCCTTCTGATATCTGTGATAAGTTGTCTTCGGGCTCCCGCCTCTTTCAAAACCTCTTGGTTGCTCTTTTTGGCTGTCCAAGGTATTCTAAGCATTCTTCTGTAAAACCACATCTCCGAGGCCTCCAGAAATTGTTTGGCCTGCCTACCGATTGTCCAGGATTCAGTAATGTAGGTAAATTAAAACAAAAACACTTGTCTATCAGGCTTGTGTCCTCAGCACTCTGCTTTACGGCAGTGAAACTTGGTCAACCTACCGGCACCATGAGAGACAGCTTAATATCTCAGGTGGCTTAGTCACACCTGGAGAATGGACGATGGCAGAGTCCCTAAGGACATCCTTTATGGGGAATTAAAGACAGAAAGAAGATGTGGAGGCCGACCTCTACTGGGTTATAAAGATGTATGCAAGCGGGACATGAATGATACAGGTATTGAGGCGGACTCATAGAAACAAAATGCCATGGACCGTGTTGGGTGGAAAGGGCTTATCAGGAATGGAATGAGACTAAAGGAAGAAATGATTGCAGAAAAGATGAGAGCTGAGCATCTGAAAAAGAAACGGAGTAAACCTAAATGTTGTTAACAATGGTCCGGAAATCCCATGCTATCATTGTGGAAGACTTTTCTTGACACTGGCGGGTCTTGCTAGTCATACTCGCCATCGCCATGGGTTATGAGTCTCATGCCTCCTCATAGCGCTATATAAAACTATCGTTTGAAAGACGGAAAGGTTCCAATGAATGTAGGTAAAGATCGGGGAGACTGGTAAATGTTACAATATTAATTCAAAAGGCAAGAGGAGCTTTCATAGCACCAGGAAGTTTGTGGAGGTCAAAAGAAATTAAAACTATAACTAAATTATGTAAAAGAAATTAATTCTAATGTCAAATCAGTACTGTTGTATGGAGTGGAAACTTGAAGAACAACTAAGCCAATTAATAATAAACTACATTCACTAACTGGTGCCTGAGCAGAATAAATGGTATGACAGAATCACTAATATAGAGGTTTGAGAGAGAACTAGACACGTTATTGTGGGCCAGGAGGTGAAGAAAAGACGCTGGCGTTGGATAGGACACACATTAAGAAACATGAGGACAATATAACTATACTTTTTATTTGCACTGGAACCCACAAGGGCATAGAAATAAAGGAAGACCAAGAAAAAAAAAACATGGAGCAGGGAGCTAGAGAACGAAGTTAAAAAGATAGGGAGATCTGCATGCGATTGTGAAGGAAAGAAAGAATTGGCGTGAGTTGGTTAAGGGTCTGTGCTCCATTGGGTGCTAGAAAGGCAGAAGAAGAACAGAATATATATGTGTGTGTGTTTGTGTCTGTGTTTGTGTATGAACACACACACACACACACACACACACACACACACACACCATGCAGCAGGTACGTTTGCAAAACCTTGCTTTAATCACAGCACACACAAAAAAGCGACTGCCATCCCTTGGTTCACTCTCCGGCTCAAGATGCCTTTGATATTCTGGGGTTCACAGTCAAGGTCGCTGGTCTCTGCCTCATCTTCCAGAAACAATATCCTCCAGTATTCTCTATCCTTTCCAAACCCCTGTAGCGTTTAATATAGCTGAAGTATTTTAGTCTCTTACAAATGATACTATCTGTGAGACGGTCTTTCTGTATGTTCAGATGTATAGAGAACAATGTTTAAGTAAATAATATTTAATGCAGAGTGTATAAGTTCTAGTGGATTAGAGAATGCATTAAAATCAACAGCTCAGTCAGGTGCCATCTCCTCAATGAAGGTTGGCTGCAGTGGGTCTGCTGTCTCTTGTCTAAATAGTAGAGTATGACACTCTATTAGACTACTGTTCGTCCATTTATTTATGCTGTCCTCCAACTTGTCTCTTTGTCCGTCCCTTGCTCATTTGCCTTCGAAATTGTCATTTTATATAGTTTTCAACAGAGGAAATAATGTGTTTAATATCTAAGTAAATAATATGTTAACCATATGTTACAAATGTCAGAGAATAAGAGACTAAATTAAAGGCATAACTCAATTCGACTGATTAACCATGGACACAGTATTTTAAACTGTCAAGCAGACGAGGAGAGGCAAAAAGAGACCAACAGAGAACATCTTCGAAACTGTTAAAATCTGTTTTTCATGTTGGCGAAGTTTAACCTTCGCCTGATGACCCTCCTTTCGTGACAATTAACAGGGGTTTGGAGAAAAGTGTCTAGGGTAATGAGAATATGAGTCCCAGAATTCAGAGGATAAGGGAAAGTTAATAAGGACTGACGAAGTCAAATAAACACAGTTATAGAAGAAATGCCTATAATGAACTGGATATATTGTGACTTTCCAAATAAATTATTTTGTAGTCAAGTCACAATAACTGAACTTGAACTAAATGAATGAAATGAGTAAGTGCACTATTAAACTATCAATCAATTTATTTTTGAAAAAGAAACTATTAATTAGTGATTAAGACAGTCTTCTTATTTAAATAGAACAGGCCTCATGGGTTTCTTTATGTCTGTTGCCGCAAAAAAATTGATTCGGTTAATTTATGTTTAAAGGTTAAACTTATGAGGTTTAACTCTTGCAAGACAGAAGGTTTCCTGTGAGTTATTACATAAAGTTTTTGATTATATCATAGAGAAACCTATGTATCATAAACGACAAACGTGATTAGCAATGTAACATGGCATGAACTGAAGAAGGAGAAGACCGCAAGAGCGACTTTGAATG